TTGCTTCTGGCGGGCCATGAGGCCCACATTGTGAAACATGTAGGAGGCCAAGTTAAAGAGTAAAGTTATACTCCACTGAATGACACTGGGCCCTGGGGATCATCATGGCGTCATGCCCAAGCACAAGCCATCACAGGCTTTTGTGTGAGCTTGCGATCAGATCAACTCTGACAGCTCAGCGTCCTTGCGCCGCAGGGGACCATCGCAGCTTTGCGGAACATGTTCGTTGGGGCTGCCCAGGGAGAATTGCGTGGGATGTCGATGGGAGAACGGCGAGAAGGGGGAGGACAACGGTCATTGTATTTATACATATCTATACTGCTGATAGAAAAGACTGATTATTGACGGTGACTTGGGGTAGAGAAAACCACGGGATGGCCATACATTGCTGGTTCCTTTGCCACATCAGAAATTCAGTAAGTACTTGCGTGCATCATTGCACCGATATATGCATTTTTGTTTTATCGATGTGTGTATAAATATAAATATATATGTAATTGTACACATACATGTTGCACGATTTTTCCAGGTCTCCTCAAAAGATCTCAAAGCACAAATTGAAATCACAAATCCCTGGTAGGCAAACTAGACTAGACAACTAGATATCTAGACCGACCAATCATCACCACTTGTTTTTCACACGCCCTCTCCATTTGTGACACTCCAAACTCATGTTTGCCATGTAGCAATGCCATGTACATGGCAACACCCCTGACCGTTAAAGACGGTCCGGAACTTCGTCGCCTTCAGGGTGGCACCGGCAAGGCGGGTATGGCAGCACGTAGGTATGGCCTTCGCCTTTAAGCTTTCAGTCCCCAAATAGGGAAGATGGCACGGTGTCCAATACATTATGAGTAGGGATTTACGAACTTCTATCATCTATCTATGTGGGATCTGAGATTTGTACAAGGTTTGTTTGGGGATTGGGCACACCCCACTCAACAAGAACAAGAGGACGGTTCGGTGAGTTGAGCTCCAAGAATTGCCCGCATGGACGCTTGGGGGGTGAAGGAATGGTACTCCAGCAAGATCCGTTTTGCTGACATGTTCTAACCAATTGGTCAAGCTTTGGTTGGTCTTCAAGCATCCCCATCTCTCTCTCTCTCGCTCTATTCAGGAAGGGGTAGCTTGAGATATGGTAGCCCCCAACCACGCTTCTTTCCCTGCATGCGGGTGGGACCTTCGGCAGAAACGCGCCAGGCTCCCGAGCCAGTGTGGCAGACTGAGTGGGCCGAAGCGGACACATGTAGCACTCTAGGCAAATGCGGCTAAAGTCAGAGATGAATGAATCTGAATTCATTTTTGTGGGTGGGCAACATGGTAAGGAGATCCTGCTTTCCCCTTGGCCTGTTTCCTCCTTGGCGGCATCTTCAAAGTCACGACCATGGCTTGTTTGTTTTTTCTTTTGAGTTCTGAACTGCAGGGTTGAGGTTAAGAGGAGGAACACATGAAGTGTATGTTGAAAGAGTGATTTGTGGTTAAGACAGGGGGGTGTGAACCATAAATCATCATAGATCTGCAAGATTGGAAAAACAAAGAACTCTGACTCTGACCATCCCTTATACATGAGCCAACACCAAGACCACTCAGAGCTTGGTTTTTGCAGCAGGGAGCTCCACAACGTGCATCCGAAAGGACCTGTGTGAACGGCACGCCGCCAGCGCAGGACGCGCATGAATAAACCAAGTCACTGTTACCAACCAACACCCACAAAAAGCTGATCAACCCACCCAAGCCATTTACCCTCCAACCCCTATTGGTACTACACCCGGCTAGTTTCTCCACCCACCCTGAGGGCCGCTCATCCCCACGCAACCAAGGCCTCCTGGTGCCACGCAGGGTGCGATGGCCAAGAGCTTTGGTCCACCGCAGCCGGTGGGGAATGCCCAGACTGCTGGTGGAGAGGTGGAGGTCGTCTCACCCGGAGCCCGGTTGAACATGCAGCCCGGTTGACCATCTTCGGTTCATGTGTGGGAAAATGTCAGGGTCCGTTCTGACCCAGATCCATGTGGAGTTCATTTTTTCCATGGTGGTGCAACTAATTATTCTAGAGCTCCACATGTTTTCCACACAAATCCAGAAGTTCATTGGTTGGGGGAGTTTGCTTGAGGATTCGCTGCTGGATTGATAGTTGAACGGACCAATCAACAGTTGTCGATAGTGACCTCTTCTGTTCGTCTCTAAGTGACCTCTTTGGGGACGGACTGTGACCTCATTCGATCTCAAGGACGGTTACGTACTGAAGGTCCTGGTAGACATCCATGTTCTGGACCACTGAGATCCATCCCTGCGCCGGTCGCCCGGGTCCGTCGCAGGTGCCGGGGCCACAAGCTCCCAAGGTGAGACCCCGTGACCAGGAGGGTGGGGACGGCGTGTGGGGAAGCGCGTGGCATAAGACGTGGCATATAAGATCTCCTGATGTGGATGAGGTGTAATGTGGACTCTTGATAAATAAGCCCTCCCTTTTGAAAAGCATTTGAAATTCCAATGGGAGGTTTATTAATCAAGAGTCTACATTAAGGCACTGGTGAATTGAAATCTAAAAGGACAAGACTGCCTACGACGACGAACAAAAAGCAGGGCAGCCACCACCTGCTGGTGGTTTGTGTTGCTTTTGGAGTAGGGCAGCCGCCTTCACATGTTGCTGTTCTTTTTATGCACTCAAGGTGTATTAGGTCCTTTTTGCAGTGGTTGGCCATGGTTGACCTCAGTAGATGGAATTAAGGGCGGAATATATAGTTTTCCTGAACTTGGGTGCGTAATGCCATGGAGCCCCGACCTAAGAAGAAAGCGCGTGATCTTCAGTCATGTTCACTCTTGTGACACACAGCTCCGGCATCAAAGAAGCCCCACTGCCCTGACATGAAGTCATCCTGCTTTCCAACAAGATGGTGCAGCTCCAGCATCGTACCCTCCAGGCACCTGGAGGTAGCAGTGAGCCGCCTTCCTCCCCGCAGGTGCGGGGTGGTTTGATGGGAGGAACTGCCAGATCGCTGTCTTCGATGGTTGGGAATCTTTGGGTTCCAGGTCACACGAACCTGCTTTTGTTCGTGTACACGTTTTCCTGTGCCACATATATGATATGGTGATCCTGATGGTTCCTGGCACGTTTGAGGTTCCATATTGAGCTGAAAACGACTGAAAACTGTTTGGAAGTTGAAGTTGTTCCTCCACAGCACGGCGTGATGTGGGCGGTTGATGCAACACATCACGTTGCTGCCAGGCAGGTGTTAGCAAGGCCGGCCTGCCCACCCCTGAGGCTGGATCTGTGGGTTTCTTATGGGTTCTCTAGTATCTTGCGCGTAATGTGGACGTGGCAAAAACAAAGCAAGGAGATTTGCCGGCGTTTGTTCCCTTTTCCAGCGCAGTTTGCTATGGTCAAGTCTGCGTCACTGCAGCATTCCTGTTTCTCAATCACTACATTGCCCACGTACAATGCAACCTAGTTGTGTTTCTCAAGAGGGTTAGTTTGAGGGAGTGTAAATGAATTGGTACGGTAGGGTGACCACGCCTATCCAGGCCTAAAACTTCAGGTTCTTCGTTGCAGCCACCAACCAATCAATGTAGATGACCTCCGCGTTTGGCGTTGGCCCTGAATCCAGTGGCCAGAGCATGTCAAAGGATGCCCGTTTGATGATCAGTGCACGTCAAGAAACAACATGTTTGAGGACTGCCGCGTCCACAGAATTGACACTTGCATTTAGCTTGCGGTTGCAAGAAATATGTATGGAATGTGGTCGTTGAGGTGTGCGTTGGAAAAAGACATTTTTTCATACTTACTAATACATTATATAATATATATACTACCCTCACAAACCGCCACGGTGCAGTATCCTTTGGCACGCTCCCCCATCATCGGCTGGGGTCGGCGGACATTCATTTGACCAGCAGAAGGTGCCTTTTCAGCACTCCTTGTCGTGTGTGGCCGCATCCATCCAGACTGCATTCGTGACAGCATCCATATCATCCATGTAGACTGCAGACTATACCAGACACCACCTTGGAGAATTCCACCGGAGGCATTTGATGGTTCGCCTTAGAGCACCAAGAGAGTCGAGAGGTAGACAAATCCAAGTCACCTTGTGATAGGGGTGGGGTACTTTATTACATTCAACTCTTAAATAACATTCTTTGTTTTGTTCAGTCTTCTTCGGCCATGCCGACCTTTATTGCGGCACGCCGCACGCACTCAGCCAGACGGAGGCCGCTGCTTCTTGAACTGCGAAAGCCACTGCGCTGCCTGATAAGCTGCTTGCTATGGCTGCCGTGTTTCCAACTGCCGCATCTGAGCTATGTGGGAAAACCCATGGCTCAAGTTCGCCCCCATGGAGAGAGACAGCTGCGGACGACCATGTTCGTGCGAGAGAGGAGGGGGTCGCTGTGGCGGAAGAACAGCAACTCCAAGGCTCCTGTGGTGGCATCAGGAGGCAAGAAGGCGGCAAAGATTTTGACCTCTAGGATCAACAAGGCTCCGACAGCTACGGAGTTGCTCAATGTGTTGAATGAGGCCGTGGATTTTCCTGATTTCAACTACTTCCACATCTCAACAGCATATCACACGTTGGCAATGTTTCACCGGAATGGATTGTTGCAAGGACTTTGTGAAAGCCCGGTGCTGCCCAAGCTTCACACTCGGACTAAAACCATTATGATGTCGCAACAGATAAACCCACAGGCTTCGGCCAACGTGCTTTGGGCAATGGCAGTAATAGTTGACACGATTCCCGGAACGACTCAGTTGCTGCCAGCATTGATAAAAGTTTTCCCTGAGAAAGCAGCTGGCATGGATGAACAGGAGTTGGCCAACTGTTTGTGGGCATCAGCACAATTGAAGGATGTCGCTCCTGATGTGCTGAAGGTCGTGCAAGCACTCATTGCCCAAACTCCAAGCAGAGCTGTTGACATGAAGCCTCAAGAATTGTCGAACTCTTTGTGGGCATCAGCACATTTGAAGGATGTCGCTCCTGAGGTGCTGA